GACAAAGAACAGATGCACCTTAATTTACTTCAAGCAGAAATTAGGGTTTTGTTTTTTAATACTTTTAAAGAGTTAAAAAATAATGTAATTTCCCTATCACAATTGTCTACACTGACAGCCATTCTGTAAATGCAGGGCCTTAAAGAGGTACTTCCTGTTCCCTTCCTCTCATTCTCCCTTCCTCTTATGTGGCTAACAAAGTTTCTAATGTAAATACTGGAGGCTTTACCATTCAGTCTGCCTCAGTTCTTATGAACTACTCTAGCCTAAATCAGTGTACAGAAGAATAAAAAATAGTTGGCTAGGAATTGGAAGAGGTGGGTTATGGTTGAAATGGCTCCACTAATTAGCTGTGGGATCCAGGGAAACTTTTCCATCTTTCTGGGTCTGTTCTTCCTCTGTCAAATGCTACTCACTGTTGGACTTTATGTTCTTCAAAGTCACTCCTGCTCTAAAGTTCTAGCTTCTTTTTAAAAAAATTATCTTTATTATTGAAAGTATTACAGGTGCCCCATTTTTTCCCCTTCCATTGACCCCCTCCACATTGCTCCCATGCCCTCCACAGGCCTTCACCCTATTATTGTCTGTGTCCATGGGTTATGCATATATGTATATAATTTCTTTGGTTAATCCCTTCCCACCCCCCACCCCCTTCCCTCTTCCCTCTGAGATACAACCATCTGTTGCATGCTTCAATGTCTCTAGATTTATTTAGTTTGTCAGATTCTATTGTTCATTAGCTACTTCTTAAAGAAGACCCTTCAATATTTCATGTAGTGCTGGTCTGGTGGTGATGAACTCCTTTAGCTTTCTCTTATCTGTGAAGGTCTTTATCTGATCTTCAGTTCTAAATGATAGCTTTGCTGGGTAATCTTGGTTGTGGGTTTTTGCTTTTCATCACTTTGAATATTTCTTGCCACTCCTTTCTGGCCTGCAAAGTTTCTGTTGAGAAATCAGCTCAGTTGTATGGGTGCTCCCTTGTAGGTAACTAATTGCTTTTCTCTTGCTGCTTTTAAGATCGCTCTTTGTCTTTAACCTTTGGCATTTTAATTATGATGTGTTTTAGTGTGGGCTTCTTTGGGTTTCTCTTGTTTGGGACTCTCTGTGCTTCCTGGACTTGTAAGTCTACTTCTTTCACCAGGTAGGGGAAGTTTTTTGTCATTTTTTCAAATAGGTTTTCAATTTCTCGCTCTTTCTTCTCCTTCTGGCATCCCCACAATGTGAATATTGGACTGCTTGAAATGGTACCAGGGACTCCTTACACTATCTTCATATTTCTGGGTTTTTTCTTTTTGCTCTTCTAGTTGTTTTTTGCCTCCTCATATTACAATTGCTGATTTGATTCTCAGCATCCTCTACTCTACTGTTGATTCCTTGTAAATTGTTCTTCGTTTCAGTTAGTGTAGCCTTCATTTCTGATTGGTACTTTATTATGTCATTGATGATGTCACTAACTTCCTTAATAGTCTTACTAAGATCCTTGAGCATCCTTATAAGCATTATTTTGAACTCTGTATCTAGCAGCTTACTTGGCTCCATTTCTTTTAGTTCCTTTTCTGCAGATTTGTTTTGTTCTTTCCTTTGTGACATGTTTCTTTGCCTCCACATTTTGGCTGCTTCCTGGTGTTTGTTTCTATGTATTAGGAAGAGCTGGTATGTCTCCTAGAATTTGTAGAGTGGCTTTGTGTAGTAGGTGTCCTGTAAGGCCCAGTGGCTCAGCCTCCCCAGTCACCTGAGCTGGACCTTCTAGGTGCTCCCCTGTGTGGGCTGTGTGCACTGTCCTGTTGTAGTTGAGCCTTGGTTGCTACTGGTGTCACTAGGGGGAACTGACCCCCAGGCCAATCGGCTCTGAGGACCAGCTGCCACTGCAGTTGAAGAGCTGGTGTGCTGGAGACACCCCTTTGGAGCAGGATTTATTTCAGTGGAACTTTGGTGTTCATGGAGTCTGCTCCTTGAATGTGTCACTGGTGGATGTGGTAGGGTTGTAATCCACCATGGTCGAAGCTGACCACCAAGTGCACTGTTTCTGGGGTCTCCTGGGAGATGCAAAGTTAGCCTCTGCCTATGCCTTGCCCAGTGCCACCCAGCATGAGCTACACAGCAATCCATAGGTGGCTACTACTTGTTTTAGGCTTGGAGGTGTCTAGGAGAGGCCAAGCTATGAACCAATGTAGGCTGCCACTACAGTCAGGCCTGGGGCCGCTTATCAAGAGATATGGGGAATGCTGAGGCCAGCTGCTACTTGTTAGAGATTTAAAGAAAGTCCTAAGCATGAGGCTAGAGAGGCCTCTTGCATAGAAAAGCCACTGGAAATGGCCTGGATGAGCTTGCAGGTAGGGAGGGGCAGGGTCTCCAGGAATCACCAGGGTGGGGCAAAAGGTGTGAGTCAGGTGCTGGAGATTCAAATATGGCGCCTGCCTGCTAGCTCTGTGGGGGGGAGGGCTTGCCAAAGGAGTAATGGCCTCTGCCAGTTCTTCTGTCAGCTCTCGCCCAGATTTCAGGCAAGTTAGTTCCTCCCTGAATGTCCCAGTTTCCTTTCAAGCTGCTTCCCAGCACTGGAGCTCAGAGGGAGTGAGTCTGAGTAAGTCCATGTGCTGGCACTTTAAGAGGAGCTGCGTGGGACTCCAGCAACTTCCATGTCACTCAGCCACAATCCCCGCTGGTTTTTACAGCCCGAAGTTGTGGGGACATCTCTTCCCAGCACTCGAACCCTGGGCCTGGGGCCCTGATGTGAGCTGGGACCTCTCCCTTCTCCTGGAAACCTCTACTGCTGAGATACCCCTCCCAGTTTTAAACTGCAGCTCCTGGGTGTGGGACCGCAGCTGCGTCTCCACGATTTAGCCCATTTTCTGCCATGCATCTCTGCCCCTCCTACTGGTCCTGATGTGCTTCTTCAGTTCCCTAGTTGTTGGACTTCTGTCCAGTTAGATTTCAGGAGGTTCTGAATGATGGTTGTTCTGTATTTTAGTTGCACTTTTGATGTGGTTGTGGGAATCAGAGGGCACCTCTGTTACCCAAGCTGCTATTTTGTCACTACCTCTAGCTTCTCTTTGTATCCTCTCCCATCTCTGTGTGTTCCTTGCTAGAAATTTGCATTAGACTTTCAGACAAGCTTATTTAACAAATGCTTTTTTCTTTTTAAAAACTTTCTTAAGATTAGGATAGTTCCTTTAAAAAAAGTTTAGCTCACTTGCCTGGCTGGGCGTGGTTCAGTGGTTAAGCAGAGACCTAGGATCCAGGCGATCAGGGTTCGATTCCTGGTCAGGGCACATGCCCGGGTTGCGGGCTGCAGCCGATTAATGACTCTCTCATCATTGATGTTTCTATCTCTCTCTTTCCCTCTCCCTTCCTCTCTCTGAAATCAATACAGATATATTTAAAAAAAAAAAAAAGTTTAGCTCACTGAAAGCACAGTTTTCTAAATATGTAGTTTATGAAATTTAGAAAATAAATGGATTGGATTTATGAGAGCTTTCTGATTCTCAAAATCTTTCAATGCTCTCAGTTTATCAAATACTTTCATGGAGAGCTCTTTAGTCTAGGTGTGCAGCAGTGCTAAATCCAGTAAATGGTTAAGGAGATAAAACATCCCTTCCTGTTTTTCCTGGATTGTCTCTCTGTCCATAATACACATCCTACTTATATTCATGTATATTGTTTTATGTACACAAGGTCATTTTTTCATGTAACTGTTATTTTCTTATGCTAACATCTTTTTCTGAGGCACATTGTTGTAAATGCACCAATTTTAAGTGTTTAGTGTGGTGACTATATACACCTGTGCCAGCATAACCCAGAAATTCCCATCACCCTCAGAAAGTTCTCTTGTGCCCCCTTCCTCAGGCAACTACTATTCTGATTTTTTAGAAAATGTTTTTATTGACTTTTTTTTTTTTAGAGAGAGAGGGAGAGGGAGAGAGAGAGAAACATTGATGAGAAAGAGAAACATCCATTGGCTGCCTCTTGCATGCCCCCTACGAGGGAAACCTGGGTATCTGACCTGACCAGGAATCAAATTGGTGACCTCTTGGTGCATGGGACGATGCTCAACCAACTGAGCCACACCAGCCAGGGCCTACTATTCTGATTTTTATCACCACACATTGGTTTTGCCTGTTTGCAAATATTAAATCATACAGTATGTAGGAGTAAGGAATATAAGGAGACATGAATATTTTAAGCTAAAATCAAGGTCCAGTGTGGTATCAGCTGGCTAGCAAAAGGATAAAACAGAGAGGCAACTATTAAAACTTAATCATTTAGTTAAACTAAGTCAAATTTAATTAAATGAAAAGAAGCTGTATACTTTAGGAAGCCCTCATACCAAGTGATGGAATTAATAGTGTTGACAAAAGTTTGAACCGATTTGGAAAAGGCATTATAGAATGAAGAAGAAAGATCATAGTCTACAAGAAGGAATTGTGCCCCCTTTCCTCCAACCCAAATGATTGGACAGTAAGTAAGAGTTGCTAATAAGCCTTTAATATCTTGGTCAGTTTATCACAGAGGACCATAAGTAATTCAGTGTGGGTAAGAGATAACATGTAGAGGGTGACATGATATCAGAAATGGGAGAAGGAGTTTAGAAACAACCCAGGGCTCAGGACGAGATGGACTGCTTCTGCTATTGGTGGAAAGTGTGGTCAAGAGTAGCAATGAATACCAGAAGCGCTTGTCTCCCAAGCAAGTGAAATACATGACCCAGTAAGAGAAATGTAGGCTTCACTCTGCACTGAGTTCCCTAACTCTGGTTAAGCCTCAAAAAAAAAAAAAAGAAAAAGAAAAAAATGTTAGGAGAACCCTGGCTGGTGTGGCTCAATTGGTTGAGCATCCAAGAGGTCACCAGTTCAATTCCTGGTCGAGGGTTAAAGGTTCAATGCTCAGTCGGGAGGTGTGCAGGAGGTGCCTGGTCAATGTTTCTCTCTCATCGATGTTTTTCTTTCTCTCCCTTCCTCTCTCTCTAAAATCAATAAAAACATATTAAATAATGCAACTGTTTGTGAAAAGGTATTATGACACATTTAATTAAGGAATCAATTTGTTGACATATAAACCAAATGGACCAAATAGGACAGAACTAATCAAACAGGACAGAAGCAATGGTCTAATCAAGCATCAACTGAAGACCTCCGATGCCAACCAGGAGGGCACCCAAACACAAATTTAGCGTGGGGGTAAGAGTCTTTATGTCTTTCGGTGAAGGCAAAGCCATTTGGTTGGCACTTCATAGGAATATCTTTCCACCAGGTCTTCATCATACGGTATGTGCCACGAGTCTCCAGTTGTTTGCACCACTGTATCATAGCAGAGAATATGCTGTTGAATTAAAAAAGAAACCAAACATTGAGAACAACACTAAAGGGATACCTGACCATTTCCCTTTCTTTTCTGACAACTTCTCAGTTTGCTTGAGAGACATATTCCTTGTCTTACTTAACAATGGATTTTCAAAGAGCAGCTAGGGCTATAAAAATGAACCCTAGTATTAGGAGTTCCTTTTCTGCAGGGGCTTCATTTTTAAAGTTAAGGACCCTCTATCTGCATACACACATGCATGCACACACACCATACAGTATTCCCTTTGTTGCCTTTATTGGTTTTGTCTGTGAGAGAAAAATTCAAATATACAAAAATAGAGAAATAGTATAATGAACTCCCATGTACCCAGCTTCAACCATTGTCAACCCAAGCCTAATTTTATTTCATCCATACCCTACCCACTTTCTTTCCTCTGCCTCCACACTCCCCCACCCAAGATTATTTTGAAGCAAACCTCAGATATATAATTTCTTCTGTAATCAGTATGTATCTTTAAGATAAGAACTTATTTTGTAAATATAAGATTAAGACCATTATTACACTAAAGAATAATTCCTTAACATCATCAAAATTCTGTTTACATTTCCAATTATTATGTGCATACATATATTTTACAGTTTGTTTGAACAGGCATTGAAATAAGGTTATTACATCGTGACTGGCTGAATTATCCCTCAATTCTCTTTTTAGCTAGAGCTTCCCTTTCCATCTCTATTATTTTGGCAACCTTTTGTTGTTGAGGAAACCAAGTCAGCTGTCCTATATTGTTTCCCACAGTCTTGATTATGCTGATTGCATTTCTGTGGTATCACTTGATACTATATTTCTGTTGTTTTGTATATTTTTTGACCATTAGACCACATTTACCATTGGCTAGTGTATTTTTCTATAATAACTCACCTTTGGATATTCTCCCTTTGCTTTTACACAAAAGACATTTTTGTATGTACAGGTAGCTAAACTAGAATCACAGGAGAATTCAACTGAGACCAAGTTGTAGAAGTGTGTTAATCAGGAAAATGGAATTACTTAGTAAAAGTAGAAGCACGATGAACCATAGGAATAAGCAATTTTGAGCTATTATAAATAAATAGGAAAATAAAAATCACATATGAATATTTGTAATTGATAACATAATTGAAGCCATAATTGATGACATCCCAGGTGTTTTCAATATGTCAACTAAGGTGGGGTTGGCCTGTCAGAACTTTTGCTCTGGCAGATTTTCTGTTTCCAGAAACTGGCTAATTCCAAATACCAAACTAAAACTGAGAAAAATAAAGCACTTAGGATTGCAACATTCTTTGATTATGCCACATTCTTACTATGTACTTGACTCTGTTGACATTATGTAAAGAACAGATGACATACCTGAAAAGTTATTTTTGATCCTGGAAACCTATTAATAATTGCCAGCTGATGTCCCTGCTGCCACTTGAAGAACAGGCGTTGGGTCTTAGCATCAGGTAGACAAGCCTTATGGTCCCGGAGCAGATCTTTTGTGATAAATCTGCAGTGATTTCCTGAGTGCAGTGTGGCATAGAGAAGGAACGGATCATCCTCTGAGCTGAGTCAGGCAAAAGAGAGGACACAGTCAAGCACACCCCTGAGGAGGCAGAGGGCAGCGTCCTTCACATGTTTACTTCTTATTCCACTTTCCTCAGAGGTGCTCTGCGTTCTTAACCGACATAATCTCGGTGATGCTTAGGAGCCACCTTAGCTGGGAGGCAACACGGATGGAAAGTAAGGGGAAGGGAATGCTGCTTGGGGCTCTTAATTGCTTATGAAGAATTATAACAGTAATTCTCTCTTCACACTCAAATGTTGGTTCTCTCTGTTCCCAGGGTATTTTTCCTATTTGCCTCATCCACCACAGAGCACCCCTCACCTTTCCTCACTCAAATTCAAGATAGTGATAAGGCAGGATGGCATTTTCTTGCAAGCCACCAAAAATAACAGGCTGCCCTCAAAGCTGAAACTGGTATTTCAAAGCAGCTTCTAGGTAGTCACCCAGATCAGCATCTGAAGTCCTCTCCTGCACTGAGAAGAGCCAGTGACTCAGTCTCCAACAGACCCTCAATATCAGCATCTACCACTTTAGTACATGTGCTGTAAAAACAGCAGTAGCTACCTTGGCTCAGGAGAGTCGAACTACAACATGTGCTATAATTTATGCCTTGATCCAAATGACCCAAAGTAGGACCACCTAATGTTTACCTTATACTGAAGTATTTCAAGTGAAATGATAAAATGACTGGAACCTGCCTTAAAAATCTCCAGGAAAAAGAGAAAGAAAAAAATAGCCCGGCCGTGCGTGGCTCAGCGGTTGAGTGTTGACCTAGGGTCCAGGTGATCGGGGTTCGATTCCCGGTCAGGGCACATGCCCGAGTTGCGGGCTCGATCAGTGACTCTCTCATCATTGATGTTTCTATCTCTTTCTCTCCCTCTCCTTTCCTCCCTCTGAAATCAATAAAGATATATTTAAAAAAAAAAAGAAAAAAAGAATTTAAAAAAAAAGAAAGAAAAAAAGAATAAATGTGGGGGTTTCATGGAACAAAATTGGCAAATGATGGTAATTTTTGGAGCTGGGTAACAAGTGGGATTCACTATACAATCCTCTCTTGTGCACATATGAAAAGGCTTTTTTGGCACATTAATGGAAAATAGAATTAATGTTAAAAATGTAATATTCAAATCCAAAGCCACAGAAGGCCACTGGATCAATCTTTACAACTGGGTTTGGAATTTCAGCAGATACAATAAATACAGGCCCCAAATCAAGCTCAAGACCAATTCCAACAGGTTCCTTGGCTATAACACTTCGCATTTATCGAATTCTTCCACCAAAAATAATAATGATGATGATGACAGCAACTAACATAAATACTTTCCATGTACTTGGTGCTGTGCCAAGAATTTTATATGTATTATTTACAAGTATTACCTCATTGAATCTTCACAACATCCCCATGAGGGTTATATGTGAATAAAAGAAGACACAGAGAAGCGAAACACCTTTCCAGACAGGAAGTGGCAGGGTCATGATCTGAACCTGGGTAGACTAATTCCCAAGTTTGCACTCCTAGTGTCTACCCAATATTGCCTAACATGGTTACATGAAGAGCATTATTGTCTTCTACTCTTAGAGAGATGGAAGCGTCCCCCCCCATACATAAATAAAAGAACTTAGCTAAAGGAAAAAGGGATTTAGATTGGGATCTGAATGAGGGGTTAGTCTCCTGCTTCATGTATTGAGAGCTATTTTATCTTTTTTAAGAATAAATGGTTTGAGGAATACTCACAAATCTTGAAGTTATCTCACATTCAACCTAATGAAACCTAGACTTGGGGCTGAGGCACGCACATTATCCATGCAAAGTTGGAAATAAACTTTATCAGCATATAGTATGAAAAACAAAATGCATGTTAAAGTTCATTTGTGCTGCTGAGGATCTGTGCTCCTCCTGATTAGCTGCATTCTTCTCACTGTATGGACACTGCTCGTTTTGTTGCTCACCATGTTTTTCATATTCCTTTGGCTTCCTGGGAAGCTGCAGTCGACAGTAACATTCCTTTCATATTTAGAATAAAATCCAGGCCCCTTGCTTGTCTACCAGAGCCCCCGAGGTACTCTGTAATGTGGTCCCTGCCTTCTCTCTGACCTCGGAATCTACTACTTCCCCTCTTGCTGCTACAGCCCATCTATACTGGCGGCTTGCCTTCCTCAAACATGCCAAGCTCATTCCTACTTTTTGAATACCTGATGTTCCCTCTACCTGGTATGCTCTGCCCACCACCCCTCCCCTTTTCTCAAATGACTCACTGCTTACCTTCAGACTTGCCCCCTCCCAAAGGCTTTTCCTGACCATTCCACCCACTACCTGCTGACCTACCTCTACCTAATTCCTTCCGATCTACTCATTCTGCTTTATTGTCCTCATAGCATTGATCCCTGCCTGGAATTATGTAATTTGTTTACCTGTTTAGTTAAGTCATAAGATGTCAGAGACCTGTTGGTCTTGTCCACTTCTCCGAGAACACAGAAAGTGCTCTTATTTGTAAAGCATATGTTAAATGATCTATTTAGGACCTTATGCATGCACTCTGTGTAATCCTCTCACTTCTGACTTTATCTTCCTCCCATTCCTCCTTTATCCTGATTTCTTAATCTAATCTATTTAAATTTATTCTGCTGTAGAAGCTATTTTTGTAAGTGGCTTCAAATCTTTTTTTTAAAAATCAGGTTGAATATACATACATACACATTTTATTTTTTTTATTATTATTTTTAAAATATATCTTTATTGATTTCAGAGAGAGGAAAGGAGAGGGAGAGATAGAAACATCAATGATGAGAGAGTCACTGATCAAGCCCGCAACCCAGGCATGTGCCCTGACCGGGAATCGAACCCTGATCGCCTGGATCCCAGGTTGACGCTCAACCGCTGAGCCACGCCCGGCCAGCTACATACGCACTTTAAAAAACGGCAAAAATAGGAAATTAATAAGCAGATGACAGGGGCCTAGTGTAATTAAATTATTACCCTCAGTACTTACATGTTGTCAGCAAAGAAACAGCTGGCTTGCTTTTGCACCTTTTCCATCTCATCCTTTCTCCACCGGGCACACGGTATGAGCATGTGCTTCCGGCCCAGGACCAGCACTCGCAGATTCTGCTTGGCTAGTTGAGAGACCACATCCAAGAGCTGAAAAACACAAAGCCAGCCCCCAAGAGGGTCAAGGGAAGAAGAATCTCAGGTAAGTGGAGTGATTCTTCCAGCTGGTGATCTCAGTAGTGAAACACTTTCGGTAAAGGGTAAGAAAACATTCCTTAAAATAATTTCCATCTTTGTAAGTCTGAGGAAAATGCTTCCTTTTTACAAATTAATGTCTAACACCTGCCCAATGATCAGGCTCCACTGGATCCAGGTTATTGTTTTTTTTTAATAAGCATAAACTAGATTTGTTTTTAAACTGTTCCCTAGGTCCACTGGGATAGAGATAGGGAGGCCAAGGAGGGTGGGGTTTGTTTCCAATATACTCCCAACCCTGCATCAACCCAAACAGCTCAGCTTTTGCATATTTATGTATTAGCATTCTGCATAAATTTTCATTTGAATAAAGGGTTCTGCTTCTTATTTTTAAAGTTTGTAAGTAGTTGGACTAGATAGTGATTTTTCAGCGAACTTTTCCATATCATGCTTCTGCTGAGACTGCTACCTTTCATCAGAATTCCTATTTTCTCCCAAAGGTCTGTCAACTTCCGTCTCTGGCCTATTTTCCAGTCAATGAATTTACCCCCATTCTCTCCACTTCCCACACGTCTTGTGTGCATATGAACTCCTCTTAAAAGTCTAGACTTGGCCCGGCCGGGAGTGGCTCAGCAGTTGAGCGTCAACCTAGGATCCAGGCGATCGGGGTTCAATTCCTGGTCAGGGCACGTGCCCGGGTTGCGGGCTCAATCAATGACTCTCTCATCATTGATGTTTCTGTCTCTCCCTCTCCCTCTCCTTTCCTCTCTCTGAGATGAATAAAGATACATTAAAAAAAAAAAAAGTCTAGACGTGGATTTTTAGTAAACCTAGTACTTTGGTGAACTTGTCTATAGTCAGTCCTTCATAAGGAAAGGTCCATATATTACATTCATGTACAACCTTTTAAACTAAGCTATTATATAAAACGAAATAAAAACTACTGAAAATGTATATTTTATGTTATATAATAGTATGTTAGAAATATAAAAGTTCTTTAATTTATAAGAATTGCTGGGCCTTCAAAAATCACAAATTCAAAGTCACTGAAGAAATCCTTAATTTTCTTGGGTCTTGGTTGAAAAAGGCACTGATTTTAGTATAGCTTCCCTTTACTAATAATTTTTTCCTGTGCAGATTTTCAGGATATAATTTAAAATTCTTCAATCAATAAAATTTTATTCGTTTGGTCAGTTGTCAAATATTGCTTTAGCACCTGTTATGTCTAATAGACATGTAGACTCTCTGACAATCAAATAGTGAATTAGCAAGGGCTGACATTTTAAATTACAGTTTAATGCTTTGGATTTATATTGTGTGTTTTTTGTCCATCCTACTATTCTTATTATTTTATGAAACAGTAGTTGGTTTTACTATGCCTAATGATTGATTCTAGAATTAAGAGACAGAATAGACACAAGTTACCCACTGAATGTGAGTTAATACTCAAGCAGAGACGTATACCAAGACCAGTGTGAGGACTTGAAACTCAAAGCTTTACAACCAGTAAAATATAATTATTTTCTTCAAAGCTAGGAATAATAGCTTCCATGTTCATTCAACAGTTATTTCCTTGGCCTCTCTATGTATAAGGCACATGGTAGGTATCACAGCCTACACAATTTTAAAAGACATGGTCCTTGCCTTTAGTGAGAGAGTACCTAATAATTTTCTTACCCAACAACCAAGCTTAAGAAAACATATATGCTGACTCCACATATATGGGATGTTTAGTAAACATTTTCTGATTAGCTGAAGAATATGTACATGTCTATTTTTATCCAGTATAAAAGAAGCTCATTTTTGAAAACTTGAAAAATATAGACTAGAAGGAAGACAGGAGAGACCACCTGTACCTCATTACCCAAAGAGTGTTAACGCGTACAGGGTGTGGAAAAAGTACGTTTACAGTTGTGAGTACTCAAAACACAGAGTTTATTCTTGTATTACTATGTATTAATTATTGTATTATTTTCCATACAAACAACTGTAAACCTACTTTTGCCCGCCCTTGTATACATACATCAAGTGTATATATTACTATGTTTATGTGAGGGCATTAAATATACTCTCATAGTGACAGAAAACTAAATTGTATATTCTTTTATTTTTTTAATCCTCACCCGGGAATATGTTTTTATTGATTTTTAGGGAGAGGGAGAGGGTGAGAAGGGGAGGAAGGGAGAGGGAGAGGGGGGGAGAGAGAGAGAGAGAGAGAGAGATGCACCCCAATTAGGAATGAACCCACAACCTAGGTATGTGCACTGACTGGGAATCAAACTTGCAACCTTTGGTGTAGGAGACGGTGCTCCAACCAACTGAGCCAGCTGGCCAGGGCCATTGTTTATAATATAAACTAAGAGGTATAACAAGGAAAGTAGCTAAAGACAAACAATAATCACTTAATTATAGGTAATAAGTATTAATTCAAAGTTAATTCCCTAGAATTTTACGTTTCAGGGGATATGGGTTGGGGAGAGAAAACATGAACACGTATAGTGTCTTCAATTTCCATTTAAAAACAGATTTACTGAGATATGATTCATATATAATAAAATTCACCTATTTAAAGTATATAGTTCAATGATTTTCTGTAAATTCACACATAAGTGTGTTCATCACCACAGTCAATTTTAGAACATTTTCATCACCTCAAAAGGAAAGCTTGTACTTTTAGCTGTCATTCTGCACCCCCTACCTCCTTAGCCCAAGCAACCACTAATCTACTTTCTGTCTTTATACACTGAACTATTTTGGACTTCCATGTGAATGGGATAATACTGTATTTACTAGTGTTTTTATTCTATGCATTTTATTATTTTAGTTAGGCTAGTAATCAAAAGCAAATATCTACACTAAGAAAGTATAGTTCATGAATTCAAACACCTCAAGACATTGAGAGTGCATGTGCTTCAGAATGCACTGATAACATTCCTTTCTTAAAGCTATGCTGAGGTTACAGATTATTTTCAATGACCCCAGATATAAAACGGCAACTGACTTCATTAAGAGAACTGACAATTACTTTTAAAAATTTCCATATGAATTCCCATAAAGTCATTGTAAAGATACAAAAAAAAATATTCAAACAAAAATAATTTTTGATACTGTTTATGTTTTCATGCAACTGGGAAGGCATGGGTTAAAGAGAAACACAATTGTGTCTTCACATTTATACCCAGGTTTAGATAAATGGCCTTGAGTTTACTAATAGAAAGTTAGAGATAGAGACTCCAGGAAGAGCAGAAAAGGCATAGCTTGAACTACTCTGGGGCACCATCTTGTGGCTGAGAGGTATCTGCTAGAAGCAGCTCTTTGAAAATGATGCACTCAAGGGGAATAAAGGAAAGACACAGGGAAGAAAGATGAGTGTACAGATTAAAGGCACTGGACTAAAACTTTGTGACAGTCTAGCTATGAGCCCACTTCCTCCGGGGTAAATTCCAAGGCTGGATTCAGTGGGTTGGGTCAAAGTCGTATTACTAAGAATAGTAAAGAAAAAGAAAATTTGCCTTAATTATATGTTAGATCAAAAATAAAACTGGGAAGACAGAGTAGATGTACTTTTCCCACTAGGTACAACTAAGAACCTCAGACATTAAATATAAAACAAACAAGACTTGGAAAGGTAGAGAGGAAAAGGAAAATTGGCTAGGGGCCTCAGGACATGTTGGTGAATTTGTTGGATTTTCTTTTTGTCTCGTATATCCTAGACTTGAAGCTGAAGAAGCCAGCAACCTGGAAATGTCAATGAAAGCAGACAAAAAAAAAGACCAACAAAGGTATTTTCTCTCTGGCCAATGAACTAGGAAAGAGGCAGTCTACCAAGATTTAAAATGACACCAGCAGACTGTGTGTGTGTGTGTGTGTGTGTGTGTGTGTAATGTAATACCTAGAGCAATATTAAAAATGCTATACAAAGCGATACACTAAAAACCACTATGATTAAAAAACAAAACATTATAGATACATAAAAATGGAAGTCTAAAAAAAGTTCAAATAGCCCACAGGAAGGCAGAAAAAATAAAACAGAAAAACAGAGATGACAGAAAACAAAAAATAAAGTGGCAGGCATAAACCCTAACATATCAATAATAACGTGAAATATAAAGGGTTTTAATACATTAATTAAAAGAGAGAGGATGGCAGAGTGGATTAGAAAACATGACCCAGCTGTATGCTATCTAAAAAAGCTCACTTCAAATATAACAGTATAGGCTGGTGAAAAGTAAAAGAATGGAAAAAATTATACAATGTAAATACTCATCAAAGGAAAGCTGGAGTAACTACATTAATATTAAATAAAGTAGCCTTCAGAGCAAAGAAAATTACCATAGACACAGAGGGACAATACATGATAAGAGGGTCACTCCACCAAGGAGACATAAGATCCTAAACAACAGAGATGCAAAAGAGGTGAAGCAAAAGCTTATAAAAGCGAAAAAAGAAATAGACAAATCCACTATTACATTTGGAGACTTCAGCACTCATTTATCAACAACTCAAGAACTACACAGAAAATCAGCAAGTATAGAGAAGTACTCAGTGCCACTATCCATGTTCATGGACTGAAGACTCAAGATAGTATATAGGTGTCAGTTCTCCCCAAATTGATATACAGGCTTAATGCATTCCTATTAAAATTCCAGAAAGATGTTTTTTTTTTGTAGATACAGGACAAGATTATTCTAAACATATATGGAAAGACAAAGGAATAAAAATAGCTAAAACAATTTTGAAAAAGAAGAATAAAGTGGGGAAAATCAGTCTACCTCATTTTAGAGGGGTAGGCATACGTAGATCAACAGAACAGAATATATGACCCAGAAATAGGCCCACACAAATATGCCAAGGAAAGATAGCCTTTTCAATAAATGATGTTGGAGCAATTGGACATGCATAAGTAAAATATGAACCTCTACCTAAATCTCACACCTTATGGGAAAAAAATCAAA